CCCCAAAACCCCAAAACCCCAAAACCCCAAAACCCCTGCTACTTTGATTAAAATTGAATTTAGCTTATGTATGAATTCTCAGTATGGTCTAGTCTGAAAGATACCAACTTCTTGACCCATCTCCAGACATGGCTGAGCTTTGGCCATTGTTGGTACTCATATCACCCTGGATGACTTGTGTCCATTAAGAGCTTTCTAAGTTTGGAAATCAGCTCTGATTCTTTCTTTAGTTCCTTCCTCAAATTCAAATATTTTTCAACCTCAGCATTCTCATTTCTTTGTTCTTCAATGTGATTTTGGACACTTGGAATGCGCAATTGAGATGTATTTAAGGAGATTGAATTTGTAGGAGAGATCAAAGGTCTATAAAACCTTATATTTCCATAAGGATCAACCTGCTTGCAAGTAATATCAGACTCGCTTCTGTCATGATGACTCATATCTAGCAAGTACTGAGACTCTTTAGTATCATTTAAGCTATTTTTAGTGTTCACCATTGAGGATACTCTTTTGGTCTTCTTTCTCTTATACCTTGATTTTTTGTTTCCATTATAAAATATATCAGCAACGTTGAGATCATGTTCTTTCTCTAGCCATTCGAGGAAATTCTTGATTTTTATCTCTAACTTTGACTTTTGTTCTCTCTCCCTATTGAGTCCTTCCTTCAGTTGACCGGTTTTGGATCATAGATGAATTATTTTATCGTTTAATTTCTCTAAAAATAAGGAAAACTGTACTCTCAGACTGGAAATATTTGTCTTGTTTGGCTTGTAAATCCTTGGATAAAGAGTCAACTTGGCTCTTAAGAGTCTCATTTTCTTGAACCAGGTTGTTAATAAAGGTGCTTAACTTCATATTACTTGTCTTCTTGAGCCATTCGTGTATTGACTCATTGGTTTCATCTGTTTTCTTGTCTAAGGAGCTGTCAATCTGTTTCCAGAGAACGCTCCTGAAAGTCTCAGTGCTAAGAGATAAGACAAAAGATTACTCTCCATTTGTTAAGGAGTTATCAGGTAAGTTTAGCTTCTCAAGATCAAGAGGTTGGTACATATTGTCAATTGAATTGCTGGGAATGTTCTCATTCAAAGGGATATACTTGCCATCAATTTTTTTCACTACCAAATTTCTTCTTGGGCTCTCCGTAAACTTCTTACTGCTATAACTTTCCCGTGACTTTTGTTGAACTCCAAAGCTCATTCCTTGAACAAAGTCCTTCGAATTATCAAATTTGAAGTACTTCTTCTGTTCATAGCTTCTATTATTGCTATTTTTCTGCATGAGGATTCTTTCATGTTGCTTATGCTTCTATAAATTAATGTGTAAATATCTTAAAGCTCAAGAATGCTTAGTATTTACCTTTGGAAGAGCAAATGGAGAGTCTTGTCTATGGTTCCTTGTATCGTTCTCTCCAAAAACATCGAATGAGACATTTTCGGCATGATTAAAATCCTTCTGATGAGCATGGTCTTTCGACATCCCTCTGGCTCTACCTGGCTTGTGAATTTTCTTCCTAGAGTCTTCATGGTGTTCAGTCGAGAGCTCTTTTTCTGTAGTACAAGCCTTCATGCCTGCTTTTTGAAAATGTTGGTACTCAAGCTTCAGGTTATTAATGGTGTTCTGGATCCCAGAAATGTGGCTGTTGAGGTCTAGTGGCACAGCGTTAGGGCTGTGATGGTCTGTGCTCAGGCCTTTAGAATGGGAACGAGTGCGAATGGGGGTTTTAGGTGATTTTGACATTTTTATGACAATTTGTGGAGGGATATTTTAAATTTTCAATGTTTGTATGGGAAATGGGGTTTTGGGGTTTTGGGGTTTTGGGG